AGCCACCGAAGCTCCTCCGTTTTCTTTGTTTCAGCCTCCTGAAGCTGAAGGGTCTGCCTCTGAGGTAATACCCATTTCTCGTTCTCCTTTATGCTCTGTTTGATTGCTCAGAAAATGTAGGGAAATTGAATTTAGAACACTGAAACAATTTTCACAATTTAAGATACCATTTTGTTAACAATTAAGTTGTATCCACTTTGTTTTGTGGCCTCTTAACTGAAAATTTCATCTTTTAAATGAAAGAAAGTTTGTATATTCGAAGTGTTTGGTGGTAACCACACAATTATGTTCATAAAAAACCAGAAGAGCATATATGTAGTATTCAACCAATAGGGGAGAGAGCCATACTTGGTTAAACTTCACTGCAACATTCACACCTTTATTTTGTAATGCCTACAGTTGGAGCCAGCGGACCCTGATTTCTACAAGATAGGGTATGTTAGAAGTATGAGAGCTTATGGAATTGAATTTAAAGAAGGGCCAGATGGGTTTGGAGTTTATGCTTCCAAGGATGTTGAACCACTTCGCCGGGCTAGAGTGAGTTGTTTCTATCCGATTATAATAATCTGTTGCACTTACTATGGAGTGTGTGAGTACACCTCCTTGCATAATGCCACATTAAGTGTCAGTGTCTGTGATGGTTTTGACAGCCCTTGGTTTATGATGAAGTGTTGAGTTCCAATGGCTAGTTTTTTGGTATTAATGTTGCTTTGTTCTCAATTTCACAGGTAATAATGGAAATTCCACTAGAACTGATGTTAACTGTAAGCCAAAAGCTCCCATGGATGTTTTTTCCAGATATAGTACCAGTGGGTCATCCAATATTTGATATCATTAACTCAACTGATCCAGAGGTAAATGTGTTTTACTTAATTTCAGCTATCAAGGATTGATAGCTGATTTGTATAATCATTCATTTACCAGGAAAAAAAATTTGTCAATTATTCTAGTATTTCTTCATGGAAATAGCATTTTGTTCAAATTATGAATTGACATTCAATTTCTATTGCCTTCCTTTTTGTGGCAGACAGATTGGGATCTGAGGTTAGCATGCCTTCTTTTGTACGCATTTGATCGGGAAGATAACTTTTGGCAGTTGTATGGTGATTTTTTACCCAGTGCAGATGAGTGCCCCAGCTTGCTTCTAGCTAGTGAGGTAGATGAATTTACAGAACATAAATCTTTATTTATAGTATTTTTTTAAAAAAAAAACTTGCATAGTTTAGTACCATTTATTTCTTTTGGCTTCATTCACGAGTGATAAAAATAAACATAGGCATGTATCTTTCTTCTTTGATTTATACCTATAAGATCTAGAGCTTTAACATGTATTTGAGGATTGCAATTTTTAGATTTGAGGCTCTCCTTGAGCAAAGCATCAGGTAAAATTTTAGAAGGCCAATTTAAAGCTTAAACTTGAAATTGTCATTTGTTATTAAGATTTACATCAAGGCCTTGAGTGTGCCTGATGTCACAGGCACATCTATAGCTGTCATGTGGCCTTCGAGAATGCATCCACATTGTTTGGGCCTCTTGAAGTTTTGTAAATAAGTACTCTTAATCATGCTTTTCTTTGCTTTTGCTCCATATATGCTATAGGAGGAGCTTTCAGAACTGCAGAATCCCAATCTTGCTTCAACTATGAGAGAACAGCAATGTCGAGCCTTGGAATTTTGGGAAAAAACTTGGGTATTTAGCAGCCTCTGTATCTTGTATCTCAGAAAGCATTCTTGTTATCATTATTATTGTGCAGAATAAATTGCTTACCCTAACTTTTAACTGATTATGCATATGTTGTATGTGTGCTCACCTGAATCAGCACTCTGGTGTACCACTAAAAATTAAACGTCTTGCTCGTGATCCTGAGAGATTCATTTGGGCCTTGAGTATGGCACAATCACGATGCATTGGCATGCAAATGAGAATTGGTGCACTTGTTCAAGATGCAAACATGCTAATTCCATATGCAGGTAAGCTTGTATCCACCTATACTTTTGTAGTTTTGATTAATTGTATCTCAGAAAGCATTCTTGTTATCATTATTATTGTGCAGAATAAATTGCTTACCCTAACTTTTAACTGATTATGCATATGTTGTATGTGTGCTCACCTGACTCAGCACTCTGGTGTACCACTAAAAATTAAACGTCTTGCTCGTGATCCTGAGAGATTCATTTGGGCATTGAGTATGGCACAATCACGATGCATTGGCATGCAAATGAGAATTGGTGCAGTTGTTCAAGATGCAAACATGCTAATTCCATATGCAGGTAAGCTTGTATCCACCTATACTCTTCTAGTTTTGATTATAAAAAAAAATTCTCGTGAATATATTATAAAATTAGATGAGTAATCGCAATTTGGAGGGGGGAATCAAGAACTTATCTTTGTCCTAATGAGTTATATATTATGTTCTTAATTCGATTTGGTTTTGCTCTTAGACATCTTTGTCCATTTGAAATTGGTAAGATGTTGATGAAGACACAACTTTGTGTATGAAATTCATTTTCTTTTTGCATTAGTTGTATTATGTACGTATACTATTTCTGTTTTCACTTATTGGGATTTCGAAGCAAATGTTTTCCTTAAACTATCTGCGTTCACTTACTATTTATATTCCCCATTTTGTTATTAGATGGCTGTCTAATCAATTTGTTAAATTGTGCAGATATGCTAAACCATTCCTTCGAGCCAAATTGTTTTTTCCATTGGCGTTTTAAGGATCGCATGCTTGAAGTGATGATAAATGCTGGAAAACGGATTAAGAAAGGTGACGAGGTAATGCCTGTTCTGTTTTCTCAATTGATGTTGATAATTTCCTTTCATAGGTAAATGCTTGCAAGGAGTCTTAAGCTAAGGCTTTTAGTTTACATATATGAAGATGATCTGCTACTAATTTGGAGGAATATTTACAGATGACTGTCAATTACATGAGTGGACAACAGAATGACCTGTTGATGCAAAGATATGGTTTCTCTTCACCTGTGGTAATGTGCTCTTGGCCATATTCTACTAAAAAGAAATATTATGTACCTTTTTCTTTTCTTTTTATCCTATTCTTTTACTGAATTGAATTGTCAATCTAGTCAAGTTAGAGAGAGTAACATGGTAAAAGAAAGAGATTATTTTTCTTCTTTCTACTTCGGTTGAGCATGTTCCGTAATTGTGGTGATATTTGTACTTTTCTAAAATTGAGTGTTCTTATTCTGGCTTGGAATTGCAGAATCCTTGGGATGTGATTCAGTTCTCCGGAAATGCACGTATTCATTTGGATTCCTTCTTGTCAGTATTCAATATATCTGGACTTCCTGAAGAGTACTATCATAACAGTATGAGATCTCTCTGTGCCTTGTTCTATATTTGTTGTCATATAAATTTTAAACCAAGCAGCTTCATAGTTTGAAAGGTCTGTATAAAACTTATAGCAGGTCGCCTATCTATTGTAATTTAGTAAATAATACTAGGACAAATCTATCTTACATGACAACCTATTTTAATTTTGGGTTTTAAGTAAAGATTTAAAAATAGGTGGGTATGCAAAGGACCCATTAGTGTATTTGTTTGGAGAAATTGCTCCCCCAGGAAATGTACTGGATTTGACTCTTAGCATCCGTGTAGTGTGTGAGTTTAGTCAAATAAAAAAAAGAAAAAGAAAAAAGATGGGTATGTGTCTAGGATATGGTAGTTGTAAGAGCCTATATTGGAATGATTCCCAAATACTAGCAACCTTAAACAAGGAGGAATTTATCACGCTGATTGGTTGGGATGGCAAAACAGTGCTATCCTATAGTGTTTCATATAAATTTTACTACAAAACAAGGGCAACCCACCACTTCCTACAAAACCATAATTTCAAAACCCATTTTCAGTATATAATACTCTTTTCTTTTGTTTTCTTCCTCCTTCCTCGAAAATCAATGTTTAAAAGGAAACACCAATCATGCAAATAGAAAAAGCCAACAAACTGATATCAATACAAAAAAAAAACCTTTGGAAAGCAAGCAATGAAGGAATTTCAGGCATAAAATAAAAGAAATAGAGGGAGAAGAGTCAACTGGGTCAACTCAAATTGATCCTTAACTTTAACTCAATCATGCAAACTAGGGGTGGGCATCAATCCATCCGAAGTAATAAAACCGATCGATTCAAACAGTAATTATCAGGTTGGTTTGCTTTTAACTAAGAAAAGGTCAAATAATCGAACTGGACCCGTATATGGTTTGTTTTAATGCTTTTATAAATGGGCCTAAACCAAACCGGACAGTGTATATTTATTTAATTATATTTTTAATTTATATGTAATACTCTAGTTAGGTAATAACTATATATATGGAGTTGAACTAAGCTATATTAGTTATTGAAATGTGAAATTTTAGGGCGTTAGCCATTGTTTAATTATATTGTAGGCCTCGAGCCATTGTTTAATTTCTTGTTGGGCGTTAGCCCCGTTCCTTCACCAAAAAAGAAATGTGAAATTTTATGGCATGTTGAGCTTTAGGATGGTTTCGAACTCTAAAAAATGATTTAAGTATGGAACAAGTTAAAAAAATTGTTGGTTATAATTGGACTAACAATATTGAAAAAAATACAAAATGAAAGGGAATTGGGCTTAGGCCCAAACTGGCCTAACCAACCCGTCTTAAATGAAATTAACCACAAATGCAGTTTGTATACAAGGGGTTTAACATTATAGCTGTGTTAGCCATAAATAAAATTAACCAAATAACCATGAATTTCAATTATAACTTATTAAGTTAAAAATAGTGATTATCTCTTTATGTTTATAATATTGTAATAGGATTTTGGAGAACGCAATGGAGCAATTGCTAGCAAAGCAATCCGTGGCTTTGGTTACTTATAATGTGATTTGGCTGGAACTTTGTATCCTGTGATTTGGTTTAACCTGCAAGAATATGTGCCAATCCTCCACGGCCTCTTTAATCATACTAACAAAGACCAAAGGGGCAATCAAACTTATTGGAGAAAAAGAAGCCAAAGAACTGATGGATAACACAGCCACTAACAGAAAATAAAGATTGGCAAACCTCGAAAAAGTGCTTTTGGAAGAAATGTACACAAGCATGCAAAAGAATACAGTTTGCTCCATCTGATGACCCGGTCAATTTCTGACCAATAAATGAATTTGAGAGCTTCACACTTTTACATTTGCAGGCCAACTTCTCTTCAACTATAAGCAAATCTGACCGAAGCTAAGCTTCTGTCCCTTCCACTCATCAAACAGACTTTCATAACAGAACCAGCACTGTTGGTTAAATAGAAAACTAAAGAAAAGGGTTGTAGGTGATTTAAAATGAATTTTATGGGTCTAAGCTCAATTTACTATAATTTCTAATTGAATTAAACTAGTAACCAATCTTAATTTAGTGCCTCTTAGAGCAATAGTTTTCGCTTCAAGGGAAAGAAACAGATGATGATGATCCATAGTTGGATAAGGTGAGCCATTGGCTTGAGTGAGTGAGTCGATCAGTCCACTACAACCAGAATTTGATAGGGTAGGGCAGAGATGCCTGTTTCCATGGCCTGTTCGAGATCCCCTTCCATTTCCCCATCAGTGTCCAAGAACCACTTGACCGACTCGTCGTTCCAGGATGGGATGTCCTTTATACTCAAAAACTCTATCTGTGGTACCACATCCCCGTACCCTTTTTCCTTGAACTTGCTCTGTATTGCCTCATAATCACTCTCCCATGGATGTGCCCAATTCAAGTCATAGTCTAGCCTGCTGGTGATCACAAACACCTTGTTGATCATCTGTTCCGGCTTCAAATTCCCATGCACAGCAACTTGCAGAATCAAATCGAACACCTTTTGAATATCCTTCAGGTCCGGGCAGTCCATCCTCCTCAAAAAGTCGCACTTGGCCTTGAGGCTATCGCCTTGTGGTATGCAACGCAGTCGAGGGTTTCGGCTGAAGTTGATCACTTTTCCTTTCCATGCTGGCTCTTCACTCAGTTCAGACACTAACAATCCCAAGCCCACCGATACATGAATGGGGAATCCACTCATTCTTGAGGGGCAGACATCACAAACAGCCAAGCCGTTGTTCAAATTCTTCTTCTTCTTCTTCTTGGCTTTGCCTGTGCCTGTGCCCTTGATCATGTCCCCCAGCATTGCGTTCCACTGAAGCTCAGCCACTTGCCCGAGATCCTCATCGTTCACATAGCGTATGATCTGATGTGGAAGCAGAGCCGCATGGTTCTCAATCTTGGAAGCTGCAGCTTTCAATTCCTCCAAATATATCTGAGACACGCAGTAGTCTTCATCAAACTCCCAATCATAACCCCACCTGTTGCACTCGGGACGTTTATTAAGTGCAATATTGTCATAGTCCGAGGCAGTAATAGAAGAATTAATTAGTTGAGATCGTCCCGCTCATCATGGAACCCATTAAAATGAGAATCCTTTGGGTTCGAATTGTTGAGAGAATTTATTACTTTACCATTTACTGTATCAAAATTTCTTCTATTACTTTACCATTTACTGTATCCTTTGGGTTCGAATTGGTTGAAATTGTACATTTAATTCTTCTATTAGTTTTATTTATTGTTATTTTAAAATTCAACTAATTAATTCTAGACTGTAAAAATAGAAAGAGATGAGTGCGTAGGGTTCAGTTGATATTAAATTCCCAAACTTAACTTTTGGTTTCTTCTTGTCACAAATGCATGGTACACCCCCATCAATCTCAAGCATTGTGTGATGCATTTCCAAAGCCACACCCACACACATGCCATTAGGTAGGCGCTTTAAAGTTGGACAGCTAAATTTTACCAACAATCGATATGCATTATAATCGTGAAATTAAAATTTCTGGGATAATTGGCCTTTAAATGTGGCATGTTTCAACCCATTACCCAAGGTCAATTGTGGGGATTTTGAAAATTTTATTTTTAAGGCTTTCTGCCTTAAAATATATAGAAGATAGATTATTATAATGAATAGGGTATGATTATTATAATGAATAGGGTATTTCATCAAATTACCCCCTACTCTCTAACTGTTTTAGTACAAAGTTATTTCTCTTCTCAATTATAAATTTGAATCCATTTCCTCTTATTTCTCTTCTTAATGTGGTAATGATTTCAAAATTAAATCTCCTCTCACTCTTGATATAAAAAAGACACTACTTCCGTCTTACAAATCACAATTTGGCACATAAAAGAAAACAACTCATCGAAAATACAAAGAGGAAAATTTTTGCACACTCATAAATTGTGAATGGCATAATGTAAGTAGGAATGGCCACTCCAAGAGGACACTGGCATTTCTAATTGGATCCTTAAATAATAAAATAATAATAATAAAAGAGAAGTACATCTTTAAACTTGAATTTTTTTGGAATGAAACAAGATGATTAAGGTAGAAGAACCAAAGTTTCTAAAAAAATATTTAAAAAAGAGCACAAACACA